CGACGAACTCGATGCCGAGGTGGGAAAGCATATCCACGTTCTATCTAGGGAAGTGACATCAGAATCTCTCCGTCACAGGTGGATCGTCGACGTCAAAACGTGTCCAAACTTCAATGAAGATCTACGGGCGAGCACGACACCTTTTTCTCGTATTGCCTGCAGAAGTCTGTGAGCATATCCAAGGGAAAAGAAACCCTCTACCGGATCGACAATGCTCCTTACGCGGGCAGCCGCCCTGCTAAGGGCGGACTCGGGAGCCGATTCATTCGTCTTTCTTGAACAACACCCCCACATGCAGGTACCAGCACATGCGCGGATGCTCACCTTACGATACTAAGGTCACGCTAGATTCCAAGGTAGATTGTGCTTCTTCTTCATGCCGTCCCATATCTTGGATTCTTGGTACAGGCTATCCGTACCGCGAGACCAGAATCAGAAATAGGTCAGGGCCCAGATCTAGGGAGGAGATGCATAGCGCGTGAAAAGGACCACGGCGCCATATTCCACCCCCTTGGATCCCGACCACCCATATTACTGAAGGAGAACCCACCAGGCTGAAGTCGGACGACTTTGCATATGTTTTTTCGGTTCCAACTTTTGCGCAGCGCTTCAGCTGACAGTTCTGTCAATAGCGTCGCCGCCCGCGATGCCACCTGCCCCTAAAAAAGACAAGAGGTCGGCCCGCGCCAGCTAACCACAACTAATGCACTTCGCTCGGGCTCCGACCATCGTCGGTTGGAGAAAGGGCTTCGAAAAAGGGTAACCGAAAGAAAAACTCTTACACACGCTACTGAGGAGAGATCCAGACTCGCGATCAAGCTACGAGTCTGGATGCTATCTGGGTGCTTGCTCCTCACGACCATATTTCTGTCAATCTTGAAATCGCCTTTTGGCTTGCGTGGCTTGCCTCATCTCGCGGTCTCTGCCGTGCGCCACAGTAGTACACGACAAACAATGAAAGCATGCAAAGGGGTGACGGGGAAAAGGAGGTTTCTTGCCGCAGAGGGCTATCGTGGCCGCTCGCCCATATGCACCTTGGACTCCTCTTCTGGGGATGATGGACTCGGTGCCCGGACGATGGTCGCGTCTGCCGGTGAGTACCCGATACGAGGTTCGGGTTGCGTCCTTCAGGTGGGTGAGTGACACTGACAGGTCCGTCGACACACTCGACAGCAGCGAACTAAGCGTGTGTGGTACCCAGAAAACATGCGACCGAGCACAAAGTGTCCCAGCGCCAGGTGACTGACAACAGATTTCTGACTCGGTATTTGTTGAGACGCAACGTGGGAAGTGAGTATGTGTGTCTTATGCTTGTTAATTGCCAGTCTACCGTGTAAAAATTTCCTCTGTTGCCATTTCCATCCATGTGGCATACCTTATAATCGTGTCCGTAACCCCTCTTCTCTCTCTGTGCCGTTATTCACATCCTAGTATGAAGGTCTCGTCTAGTCTAGACAAGAGCCTATGTTGTTCGCAAACCCCCTCCATGAAAAGCAAAAATATCGGGAGGGGCTCAGATCCCTTTCAAAACAAAACTCCTACCTAGTGACCCCATTTACCTGAGGCTTCAAGATCAATCTCAATAAATAAACAATGTAGATGAACCCAAACAATCACTATTTCAAGGAGACGACCCGTCTATATTACGAAATAGTCATGTTCGTTCAGCAGTCTCCCTTCCAGTTCTCCTTGATCCACTCGCCCATCTTGTACGTCAGGGTCTCGTCGGACCAGCTCAGCACGTCGTTCTCGCTGTACTCGCCCCCGCTGAACTTGAGCGCGACAATGATCCACTGCAGGATGAAGTCGATGAAGACGAGGTCCACCTTCTCCGGCTCGCCCTCTTTGGGGAAGCCGATCTCCGTCTGGATGCAGTTGGGGACCTCGTAAAACGTGATGGGGGAGTGTTCCGTGTCGTCGCCGTCGGTGCCGATGTCGTCCTTTGTGGTGTAGCCGCCAATGAGGTCCGGCTTTTGGGACTTGTCGTCATCGTCACTGTCGGAAAGAGGTTGCTGGTTGTCCGCAGGCGTGTGACGGAGTTCCAGGCGGCGGGGTTCGCCGACCGTTTGTGCATCCTCCTGCTCCGTCTTGAGCATGACCATGTCGTCCTTGGGGTACATCATCTCGGGGATGTTCATGAACCGAACGTCGCTCGTAACGGCCGTCTCCTGGAAAATCTTGCCGGCCTTGTTGAGGAGGTCGATAACGCGCTTGGCGACGGGGTAGGGCACGTCGGGGATGTACTTGAAGGTGCTCGTGAAGGGGGAGACGATGTAGGTGCTGTCCTTTGTGAAGGCGCCCTTAAAGATGTCGAAGCGGAGGCCGCCCGTGTTGACAATGGCCAGGCGCGGCACGTCTTTCCTGTCGTCCTTGTGGATCACGTCCGGGAGGACCTGGGTCTCGAGCCAGGTGAAGATGCTGTCGTCGCCAGGGTAGGCGGCGCGGTTGACCCACAGGTCCTGGGGGGCGCAGCCGTACTTGTAGTCCAGGTCAAGGGCCTTGCGGGCTTTGGTAATGAGCTTGCTCACGTTCTTGCCGTGCTCTGTCGGGAAGGTCGTCTCGTTGAGACCGGTGTGGTGATAGAGGCCCAGCAGGTTGTTGTCGATGTACTTTCTCGTAAAGGAGACTGATGCCGCCGCCTCGTCCGAGACCTCGTCTGCTGACTTTGACTTCTTCTTGACGTTGTTGACGGACATCCACCCGATGGTCTCGCCGTACCGACCGCTGGCGATGGCGTACGCCTCCCTGTCAAAGGAGAGCGCGTCGCGGACGTGGGCATGGCCGCCGAAGAAAGCAATGGGCGCGAACCAGGCCTCCTTGCGCAGGGCGGTGAAGATGGCCTTAAACTCGGGCATGCGCAGACCAACGTGGCCGATGACGATAAAGAGGTCGGGCTTTTCCTCGCGGAGCATCGTCTTGAACCATTCCTCCTTGACCGTATCCTCGACCGGCTGGACGACCGTGTTGTTTGCGTTGCCCGTGAAGTCGAAGAGGAAGCCGAGAGCGACAACGTTGAGCCCTTGGTTCTTCGTCTTGAACTTGCGGTATCGCTTGGCCTGCGGGACTCGGTCGCCCGTTTTCGGGTCGATGTAGTCGAGGTTACTCGCAATGTAGTTTTCTCTGTAATTCGGCACCGTGATGTCGTGCTCGCGCTGGGCGGCGTCGGCCTGGTAGAGCTCGTGATTGCCCGTGCAGATGACGTCGACAGTCTGCTCCTTGAAGATGTCGTAGGTGAAGAGGCCTTTCGGGGAGGAGGCGTCGTAGAGGCCGTTGCCCTCTACGCGGTCGCCCGTGTCGATGACGAGAAGGTCGACACCTTGCTCGTCGGCCTTGCGGCGCATGTGCTCGGCAAAGGAGACATAGTCGCCCCAGTCGGCCGAGTATTGTGGCTCGAGGAGGTGGCCGCCGAGCCAGCCGTGGATGTCGGTGGTGTGGAGGAAGTTGATTTGGCCCCAGGTTAGGTCGCGCATCGGGGCGGGGACAGGGGAGGCGGCGCCAGGTTGGGCGGCTGAGGCGAGGGGGAGGTAGAGGGCTGCCGCTGCGGCCGCGGCCGTGAGGATTGAGGGTGGTGATGATCGGTGTTTCGCCATGGCTGTGGTGCTTGTATGTGGTTGCTGCGTTTGGTTGATGGGAGGAAGAATAAAAGAAGCTGAGGAGTTCGGGGAGATAGAAAACCACAACCCGTTCGCTTCGCCTTCTTGCGGGGGGAGGAGACTGGGAATCCTGAGAGGCCAGACCGGTTTGACGTGATGCGTTGGCGAGTCACGGTCACGGGTGCCTGAAGGTGCGGCTGCGGATAGATAGGTAGAGAGCTTCCTGAAGCTGTCTCCGATGGGTGCCCCGGACAACCTGACCCGCTACGTCAGCGACGATCCCTCAAGGTTCTTGTTAGGATACCACTCGCTTATCTGGACTGATAAACGCAAAATTGGGGGTAGAAGACTAACAGATACGAGCTGGGAGGTGTCTGAAACTGTCATGGTGCCAGAGAGGACAGCTGGGGGTGCGGGTCCACGTGCCCGGAACGATCCCCGGACCTGCATAGGTACGTTCCTTGTTCAATGCGAGTTGAGCTTGGGCCAGCAGGTACCCGTCGGCTAACGTTGGGTCCACCGGATGACATTCCCTCTTTCCATGCCCCTTTGTCCATCAAGCTCGGTCATTCATACGGGAAGATGGATGTAGATCCGGACCTTGATCCAATCTAAAATGGGTAAGGTACTCATAGATACTATGGCTCCAAGTTTGTACACTTGAAGAAACAGGCTTATAGTGAGTTCACGGGCTTGGGTTAACCACCTTCATTGTGTGCAGATCTCTCGAGTCTTGAACGTCAGAATTATGTGCTTGATTTCAGGTTATTACCTGATGAAGACTTTATGAAATATCTACAACTACTATCAAATGAGAATGACCGTTGTTTAATTGATACGACGACATACATACGGAGGAAGCGTCGGATCGTGTTCACATCAGACTATCTTGGTAACAATGTAGCCAGTCGCGTCGAAAGATGCCACCACCCCTATGATCTCACCATTGAGGATGCTTCGAAGCGCTCAGCTACATTCAAAGCCATGTACCGGAACAGCGTCACGGCATCGGTACTTAGTAACGTCTGCCCCGGTTGTAGTGCTCTTCAAGTCGATGTCTTCAATAGTGGTGTCTTCACAACCGCCACAGCCTTGGCTGCAGTTCATATCCGCAACGTGAATGGATGCGTCATCGCCGACCCAATTGCGAACCGTCATATTCGAGATCTTAAACTTGCCGCTTTCGCAGTCTCCCTGTTGGCCACTGAAGCTGATGTATTGGCCGAGGAGGAAGGGTGCCTCTCGTGTCGCAGTGAGCTAGAAATTCCGTGAGTACCCCTCTACTACTGTTTTCGAAAGAATGACGAGGAGGATAAAATTTGACTTGCTCACATTCTTGAGGTCTTTATTCAGGTCCATTAGCAAGCTTGTTCAGGTTCAAGGGACAAGCTGGAAGCTCTCAATTTTTTACTCACATCCGATGCCGCCTCCACCTTCGTTCGGTGGGTAAGAAACCTGATCTCCAGTCCATATCTTCACATACGCGCCGTGCCGAGTCCCCAAGCCCTTGATACGCCCCATAGTGACGTTCTCAACGTGTTCAATCCCGTTCTTATACTGTCCAAGACTGCCAAAGGCTATACTGAGAGAGTGATCCATGGTGGAGTCTTCAATGAGGATGATGGTAGAGTTGCCCTTGATGGCAACCGCATCGTCGCCATTTCGGATGTACATATTGCGGAACGTGATGCGGTCCGAGTCGATGGTATCTGCGCCGTCCGTGTTCCTGGCAGGGTACCCGTTATTGCTAGTGCTGTTGATGTATACGCCGTCGAATAGCACGTTCTGCGAGTGCATGATTGCCATGGTTCACATTTGGCTCTGTACCATCCGTACGTTACTCCTTGTCATGCTTGACGCTTTCCAGATGGCTAGGCCATGAGGGCGGTCGGGGTAGTTGGACTGGCCTTGGATTTGGTTGTACCTGAACCGTGTGTGTCAGTACGAATTGGACGAATCTTATCGAGAACCGGGATACTGACCAGGTCTGTCCGTTGCCGCCCAAGGTTCTATATCCGACGCCGTCAACTGTGACGTTCTTCCCGCCCAGGAACCACGCCGCAGAGCCGTCTTGGCACCCGGTTGGCTGCGGGTTGCTGAGCCAGTAGTTGGTGTCTTTGCTCCACTGTGTGTCAAGCAAAAGTAATCAGCACCTATAGCTGGCTCATGACAGAAATAGCGAGGTTGTCCAATCTCACCACTAATGTCCCGTGGATCTCGATCTGGGTATTCTCCAAATCAGTCGTGGTCATCATTTTCTCAATATTGTACGTCGTGTTGGAGAAGACAATCCGGCGATTCGTACGGCATTCCTTAAAGGCTGCGAGAATTGCTGGTGAATCATCGGAACCGTCATTGTTGGCTTCAACGGTACAAGTGTAAACGGCGCTATCTTCAAGGATGCTGTTTGGAGAAACTAAGACTGAGGAGAAATGGTCATGTAGGGTGAACGGGACCACGGACCAGCTGAGACCCATATTGGGGAGCACTGCGACAACTGGACTTCGAAGATGAGTCGGTGAGAAATTGAAGACGACTCAAGCAGAAAGCAGAGCTATCTGGTCGGTGCAACTTATATAATAATCAACAGATAACAACATGGCGTTCATCGAGAAGCATATGCTGTTGTTTGGAATCTGTCCCGAAGGCTTTGGCATGGTGATCATCAATGAGGGTGTGACTCGCTAGCAATTACTACGACGTCTGCAAAGCTGGATCGAGGAATGTGACGATGACTTCCTCATGCAGAAGCTGTCAATTGTGATTAAGGGGAATGAAAGGAACTGATGTAACCATGAATATCGATCAATGTAAGAAGACATATCCTGCCACCGATATCGGCCTTGCTTTCAACTGGTAGACTTCGTCGCGGTCACCCGCCGTGTGACATCTTGGACCGATGGCCTTCCCTCCCTCCGCACTGCCATCATCCCGTCGGCCGACCCCGCAATATGCAACCCTTTCCCGATACAGATTGCCCCGATTCTGGACGATAAGCGGGCTACAAACTATGCTTGATGATAGGCAGGCTTTCACGGAAGATATAGCCAAGGCGAATCCCGCCAAGGCATCGGCTGGTCGCTTCAGCCCGCCGTCGATACCCCGGATTCCGTGGAATGCACACCTCGGGTTCCTGCAGGAACTACCACTGCGATAAATAGGTTGTCGAGAATGCTGCCATATGCACTATAACCACTTTCTCACGAACCTCTCAAGAGTCTCGCGATAGCTGTTGTCTCTTGGCGGCTCATTAAGCCAACTCTTCTTGGTCTGGTCACTAGTTACGTAGCGCGATCAGTCTGGTTTTCCTCGAACGACCTCATGAATTTTGTCACGCTCGTGGCTTGAGCACTTCCCGGCCATTCCAGCCCACCACAAACTAAATGCTTGGCAGCTGCTTATTCACAGCGTTACGAGAATTGGATTACTGAAACCGAACAATGTCCTGTTTGACGGATTGGCTATTGGCTACGTTGGCTATATCCCAAGATGAAGTAGATACACTTTTTATTGACTCTATGCACAGCTCTACAGGATATATAAAGGAAATGTTTTGTCCCATAACCACATCAACGTGATGCAACCATTATTACATATACACACGCACACAATCCTCAACTAAACAGCCAGCTTAAGAGCAGGTGCCGAAGATGGGCTGGCAACCGGTGCCGCAGTGAGCAGTGGTGGTTCCGCAGAAGCCGTACTCGGAGCAGCAGGTGCTGTCGGGGCAAGTGTAGCCGTTGGAGCCACCGCAGGAGCTGTCGGGGCTGACGCCGCCGGTAGCAGCGGTCTGGGTAGCAGCGGGAGCGCTGGAGGTGGCATCACCACCGGAGGCAACGGGGCCGGCGACACCGCAGACACCGAAGAGGGGCTGGCAGCCGGTGCCGCAGTAGGCCTGGGAGGTGCCGCAGAAGCCGTACTCGGAGCAGCAGGCGCCGGCCTCGCAGACGTAGTTGTTGGAGCCGCCGCAGGCACCGTCGGGGCCGATGACGCCGGTGGGGGTAGCGGTGCTGGTGATGGAGACGACGATCTTGGAGGCGGTGGCGGTGGGGGTGGAGGTGCGCTTGGTCTTGTACCAGTTGGCCTCGGCGTCGCCCAGGCACTCACCGACGGTGACGGCGTTCAGGCCCTTCTCCTTGATGATACGGAGGAACTCGGGAACAAGGTACTCGGCGGTGTTCTGGTGAACCTGTTGCGGGTGTTAGCTATCTGTGATGGAGGCCAAATCTGGTCTGGACTTGTAAGAAACTTACCTCGTGGGCCAGGGCAATGGAGCCACCAGCATCGACACCCTTCTCGAAGATGCCGACGCTAGTAAGGTTGCCGAGGGGAGCGTTGTTCGCGTAGTCGAGAGAGTCGATGTCGGCGTGGATAACGTGGTACTCAAGAGCCTTCAGGATGGAGAGGGTGTTGTCGTTCCAGCTGAAGTAGGGAGGGCGCATGTAAGTGGGGTACTTTCCAATAATGTTCAGGAGAGCATCCTCGAGCGTAGTCATCTCGGGGATGATGTCGGCATCGCCCAGGGTGGCAAGGTCGGGGTGGCTGTAGGTGTGCGAGCCAATCTGGTGGCCGTCGGCAACCATACGCTTGACGACATCCTGGAAGTTGTTGATGTTGCCAAAGTTCTCGCCGTTGACGAAGAAAGTGGCCTTGGCGCCAGCCTCAGCGAGGAGGTCGAGGACGTGCTCGGTGTAAGTGAACGGGCCGTCGTCGAAGGTGAGAGCAAAGTCACCCTCAACGGTGCACTTGGTGATGGCAACACCGTAGGGGATGTTGGTGGCCGGGGCGGTAGCGCTGGCGGAGGCGGATCCGGACGCCGTGCTGGAGGTGGAGGCCGGGATGGTGTCGTTGTTGCCAGCGGGGACGGTGGTGCTGGGAACGGCGATGGGCTCGGTGGGAAGAGCGACACCGGGCACGGTGGTGAAGGAGGGAGCAGCAGTGGGAACGCTGGTGTTCTGAGGGAACGGAATGTAAGAAGAGCCGGCGGGAGGCTTGCCCGGGTACGAGGGGACGTTGCCGGCGGGAGCAGAGGCGGCGGCAGAGGGAGCAGCGGAAGGCCACGAGCCGCCGGATCCAGGCTTGCCTCCTCCGGGGTAAGAGCCGCCGTTGGAGCCCTTGTCAGATCCCTTGTCGGAGCCCTTGTCGGAGCCGGTGTCGGAACCCTTGTCTGAGCCGGTGTTGGATCCGGTGTTAGATCCAGTAGAGGAACCGGTGGAAGAACCGGTGGAAGAACCGGTGTTGGACCCAGTGTTGGACCCAGTGTTGGAGCCGGAGCTGGAGCCGGAACCAGAACCAGAAGAGCCGGAGCCAGATCCAGAGCCGGAGCCTGAGCCAGAACCAGTGTTGCCTCCGTTTCCAGGGTTTGACGGAGGAGGGTAAGAGCCGCCGGGAGTAGTGGGGACCCCGGGGATGGTGGTGTTCACGGGGTAAGGCGGGAAGTGAGCCTTGGTGCTGCTCGGCTGAGGGGCGGGGACGTCCTCATCGCAGAAGGTCTCGTTCGAGGTCTGGCGGCGGAAGGGGGAGGCGGCCGCTCCGGCCACGAGGAGCGAGGTAGCAACGGTCTTGAAATGCATGATGCGAAAGAATGACTAGTATTATATAAAGAATGACTTTGGTAGTTAGAAACGAGTGACGTTGTCTTACAAGAAGAAGACGGACAGTTGACTAGTAGTGAAGAAGAAGAGGAAAACGAGAAACTACCAAAAGGTCGACATGGCGAGCCGCCCATATATCCCATCCGACTCTGCCAAGTCTCCGTGGCCGCCCCCCCCCCCCCCTATGCGCCCATGCGGGTTGTCAGCTTCGCAGCACACTAACAACCCCATTCATGTTCATCCCGTTTTAATTGCCAAGATTCACGGCCAAGAACTCCAGTCCCAAGTTCCCAACTACCCAAACAAGGCCGAGTCATGGTTGGGGTTCCTCGCTTGGGCGTTGCACCGCCCTGCAGGAAAAGCAAAGCAACCTTGTTAGCTCGGCTTGGCGTCTGTAGAGTTGCCCAGCTGGCTGGGACATGGAAATGGGGAAAAAAGATCAAAAAGGTCGGTCGAAAAAGTCCCGTACATGAAGGGCCTGGTAAGTTGCGGGAGATAAGATGACGGGCCACCGAAATAGCTGGCCCATCATCCATGCAACGGTGTTGGGTATTCTGTGCTCCCCGTTAAGGTCCGTCTCACGAGTCACCGTTAGTCTCCTTCTCCGCGCTCCTCTCAAGGTGGCGGCCGCTGTTGGCGACACCTGATGACGACGAGCGGACGCTCAATATGGACGATATAACGAACGGAGGTGCCAAGATACTAAATCCCAAATCAGGGCGGGTCTGGCTTTTAAGAGAAACCAAGGTGATGGCAGGTTGTTGAGGTGTTGTCGCTTTGTCTCCACCGGTTTGACTTTTCGAATTGTTCTTGGTCAATCTCACGAGCCTCGATCCAACCAATGAGATCCCACATGACTCGGTACAAGCCCACTTCGATATCCTTATAAACTAGCTTAATGCTACTTGAACGCGCGCATGGCCCGACAGGTCCGGCACTTCGCCGCTCTTAGCCTTCTTTCAACTTTCAAGGTCACCCTTCAACTGTTCAACGGGCAGGTGGAAAAAACCCGAAGCTGAACGAAACGGAGAAGTCCATCCTGGTCGAAGCGCGCGCGGAGACGGTCTCCATGCGCCATCTATATAAGATGAAAGCTGTGGTCTCGTTCTACCTCTCCGAAGGTTTAAACACTGGGACTTGAATGGGCGAGCCCACTTTGGGGTTTGTGATTCAGCACAATATCGAATTGTGGCTACCATCACCAACACCACCCACATTGATATTTGATGAAGTGCGTACTCTGCATCTCTCATGATTTCACAACCGACATTGGGCGGCGCGGTAATTTGAGCAGCCCTGCGGCGTAGCATTTTCCTTTTTCGAACACAATTTTCCGCCGCAGGCATGTTGGATACTGCCTATTGCCTGATGTTGCTGCACGAACAACCAAAGATCTTTTCACGGGCAACGGGGGCCAAGTCCGTACCAACGTAGTGTAAGCCAACGCCGCCAGCCAACACCAGGCACAAAAGAGGGGCCGCCGGAGGCTCTCAGGGAATCAGAGTCCAGACATCGCCGATGGGTGGTGCACTTGCAAGGATGGCTGGGCTGGGCGTCGCTGCGAGCTGTCAGGGGCAGCACAGGGGTTGGCTGCTTGTTTGTTGGAGCAGACGAGTTGTTCATCACAGGGCAAGCCAGGGCTCTGGACAGCTCGCATTCGTAAGGACCAGAATGTTCCCGTTGGAGTCACTGCTCATTACCTCATCAGCCCTTTCCTTCTTCTGGATGGTGATACTTGGTGCGTTGGCGTGGCTGACAACTCCCCTAGCGCGGACTCTTGTCTCACAGTCTCAGACACTGAAAGGCTTACTTCAATTTCGCGTCTTCAATGCCGTTTAGTCATCGTCGTCTTGCGGCTGATAAGAGCTGAGATCTGTTTCTGTATCTAATTATTTGTACTTCACCGTGAAAAGAAACTTTCGCCCAGCCGTCACTGCCCATTCGCCCCTTTATGCTATTCTTGCCTCTCCTCTCGACTCTATTAGCGTCAACTCTTCCTACCTACCGTTGATCTTGGCACTCAGGATGCCACGCCATGAGACAGCGGGGCGCAAACGAGCTTGGCCAATGCATATGCTGAAAGACATGATCTGTGCGCGTTGCGAGCAACTCGCTTCTCCATGATGAAATTGAAGGGTTCCCCTCTCTAACAACTTGAAAGTGCATCGGCGATAGAATCAGTGCGTTTTTTAGAATCTTCAACGCGACAATCCGTTGATTGCTGCAGACATACTGCAGTGCAACAGGCACACAGAACACTCGCTCCCTCCGGTTTCGATGAATAGATCCACTGAAAGCGCAAACAAAGTGAGTACTAAGTTCGCATATAGAGGACGAATATAGGAAAACTGTTTCCACACACTATCGAAACCTAACGGAACTGCTCTATTTGAGTTCTTGTTGATTGATCATAAATGCTCCCGTGGGCCACCTGTCGCACGTCTGCCGTCCGCCAAAAGTATATTCTGAAGAACCCACCTTCTAGAACCACATCAGGAAAGTAGCAAGCAGGGTTATCGTTACTTATCGATCTCGCAGTTACTTTCGGCCACATGCCTTTGCTTTTCGCTGTTCCCAAGTTGAAAATAAGCTTGATATCCAAATTAGTGTAAACGCAAATCACTCTAACTTTTCCTAATGCCCATTACGACCGTCATAAACGGTACAGATAGATGCAGCCTCGCTTAAGACTAAATGGCCTCCTCTTCGGCTAGTTCGTTTTTAGAGTGAAATTTCAAAAGTCTAAAGACTTGTCCATGATGGTTGGGAGATAAGTAAGCGCTCCCGGCCCACTGGTTACTGTCAACACGTACGTAGCATAAAAGAGAAGAAAAACATGAAAGTATCAGCAACGCCAACATCATGGATGTCGCTTAAGGCAGAGAAGTATGGACTTCTCTAACCATTGTGCTCCAGCGCCGCGCCTCTGGTGACAGTCCGTGCCGGTAAGGTCCTCAGAGCTAAATTGCATTGAAGATCAGAGACTTCAAGAATTATCCTCATCTGGTACCACTGAACCAAGTAGAATCTTGCGCACATCTGCGTCAAAATTCCTTGTATCGACAATGTCTCTTGTTGGGAGTTAGTGATCAGTACCAACTCGAGAGAAAGCTGGGCGCCAACTTACATTCCGGTTTCCTGTTTCAAATCATCATCCAACGCTTTCAACCGAGTCTCTCCAAGTCTGTCAGCAGGCGTGGCCGGGTCGTGAAAGAACCGGATGAACTGAACACCAATCCAGTTTTGTTGTTCGTTAGTCCGTTGAACATGAGTCACCAGTCGCTTGATCGGACCATCGACACCGCAGAAACTCTCTTGATTCCTGAGATTCCAGTGGCCATTCGTCAGCACGTATATGCTAACCGGCTTCTTATTCTGGATAGCTTTGCTGACGACCCCGTCCAAACTCGGGCCCATGTTGCATTGTTCTTCACGAAACGCCATTCCCTCTATGCTTTGCTTGAGCTCCGAGGTTCTGGTCGACTGAAGAGGAGGTTTAGATGAGGTGAAATAAACCTCAAAGGTTGAATTTGGGTCAACTCCCCCCTTTTTGAGTAAGTAGGAAAGAACTTGGCAACTCGTGGCTACCTTCTTCTGATGAGGCTCCATGGACCTAGAGTCGTCCACGAGAAATATCTTACGAAATGAACACATTAGTTTGCGCCATAAACATCGGTTTTACCTTTACTAACCTGATCACGACCTGTCTCTCCTTTCAACTTTTGAAGGGATGGAGCAAGTTGTGGGTACGCCTCCAGAGGCTTGCCTTTAACGTTGGAGCTCGTGCTTCCTCTACTACTGCGAAAACTTCTGAATGGCGAACGTGAGCGTTTCTTCCCTTGTATGCATACGTTCCAAATGGTTTCCATAGTTATATCGTCGTTGAGATCCTTGGGAGAAATGGGTTCCGGACTCCATTGCGAATGACTCGGAGGAGAGAGATTGGGGTCAGGTCCCCTATAGGACGGCAACCTTTCTTGTCTATATGGCAAGTCTTCATCCTGAAACCCATGCGCCGTGAATTCAATGACGGTGTTCAGCCTTGTTGGCTGCTCTGGTGCCCCCATCAATTCAGCTCTGTCATCTGTCGGTGCATTTGCATGAGCTTCAATGTTTAGAGCGTTTGGGACGTCTTCAGCTGGAATGGATTCTAGTGATCTATCCCAAGGGGAAGACCTGCGGTCGGGTTCGGTTGCTGCATTAGCAGCAACTGGCACCGATAAATGCCTTTCGTGGTTCAGTAAACCTCCGGACACTTGCGTTGGCCGATTAGGCACCGAGTTAAATCTCTGGGGCATTCGGGACTCGTGCAAACTTCCTGGGCCTGCCTCTTCGTGTGTTGCTTCTGGCGAATGTAGAATGATGCCGGGAGGGTTGTCTGCCCTTGACCCGGTGGAGTGCGTTGCACCCATTCTCTCGTTAGAGTGTTCTTCAGTATATAGGCTAGATCGGCTCAGCGGGCTGGTTTCCCTCCTCCGAGATGTTGAATGGGGCCTCGAAGACCTGAGCGGAGCATACTCTGCCTTTCTGTGTGGTTCAACCAGGCGAGGGCCGTTAAGAATCCTGCTCTTCCATGCAGCATGAAGCTCCAAAGCTTTGAGTCTCTCTCTGGGGTCTGTCAAAAGCATGCCTGAAAGGAGGAATTCGCTGACATCTGAAAACCACTGAGAGTCTTCACCGGCGTAGCTGATTGCTTTCTGATGCCACTCGTCCACTGCATCCAAGAGACAAGCCCCGTCCGGAGCTCCGTCATGAAAGGCGCCCTCATGAAAGCCGCCATTCAGAGGAGTTGCGTGGGTTTCGCTCACTCGGTCTTCTTGATATTGGCTGCGTCCATACTCTCCCCATCTCGTCCACACTAGGGCTTCGCTGGCGACACCGCCGAGAGACCAAATGTCGCTCTCCCATCGAATTGAATTCGAGCCGCCTTGATCTCGATATGCTTCTGGAGCACCTATAGGAATCTAGGGTTAGGTGACTGAAGAAGTGACAAACCCAGGAAGTAAAGCTTACTGTACATCCCATTCCCCCAGTTATCCTCAGCATTCAATCCCAGCCCTTGGTATCTTGCCCTGTGAATGTGGCCTGTTCCCATGTCTGCAAACTTGAATCTTACAGCATATATATTATCAGCTGGGCCAGGACAAATAAGAATGTTCTGCGGTCTGATATCCTGGTGAGTTCTTCGATTTTAGAACATTAGCCTGATTCAGATTTCAGATTTGGTGGCAAAGTAAGTTGAAACAGTCATACCCTTTGAGTTCCCAACTTCCCTTTACTCCACGGCTTTTTCTGAGAATGTGAATTGCATCTAGACCGCCCAAAAGGCCCATCAAGCTATCCCAGAAAAGGATGCGATCTGAGTGGGCCAGAGGAGGAGGATACGCTTTGAAGAAGGACTGCAAGTTTCCGCCTGGGGCGTATTCAAGTATGATAGTCCGTAAACCGGGAATTTCAAATGAGCCAAAATACTTGATGATGGAATCATACGATGTGGTCTGGTCGTCGAGCTGCGTGTACATATCAACTTCGTTCTCATAAAGTTGCTTAACCTCCTCATTTATGTCGCGATAAGTTTTAAAAACCACGAACTAGCAGAACATTGTTAGAGCTGAGTAATACTTTCGACCAGAACAGAAGCCTTTAATTACCTGCTGAGAAAAGCATTGCGAGTGTAGCTGTACTCGATACACGCAAATATTGTCCTCTTGGACGTTCCCTGAATGCTCGATGCGGTCTTTCGCCATGATGGGAATGATTTGCAGAGGTGGTAGATGTCTCTTTCGCGGCTTAGGCCCTCCATCAGTCTTGAACAAGAAGGGGTAGAATCTCCATTGCTCCTTCTGGAACTCCTCAAAGACCCTCTTCTCTTCCGAATCCTCCTTTTCAGAATACGCATGCGGGTTATCTGCCAGCGGCAGTGATGTATCTTTGATGAACTCTCCTGTGAATAGTGAGATGTGCTGTGGCTGGGACATGTAGACGAGGATGGAGAAAACAATGAGATATTGCGGCTGGATGGTGGAAATAGTGTCTTTGATCCAGTCTTCTCGACTATACAGAACGCGTCTCATGTTTTCCTTCGTCCAATAAGTCTCGAGTGCGCACCGGGGAACAAATGCTACATGCTTGTCCTCGTATGCATCGTATCCCCTCATGCCGTAGCAATTATGCTGCTGGACGTATTCATCGACATATTGCTTGAATTCAGCAATCACGTTATCTTGCTTCATTTTCTCTGCCTTCTGTGCCTTGTGGAAAATGCCAACAGGCGTGGATATATCAGAAAGCTAAGTGTGTCGCTGAGCCTCGCAGGGAAGAAAGCAATTTGATTGTAAAATGTATTCGACAGTAATGATTGTGAGAGATTTTCAAGACGAAGGTGATTGCCGTTCAAGGCGAAGATAAGCACGGAGAGCTCTCGATGCAAAAACAGCGGACTGGAGTTCAGTTGGTGTATGGGAAAGGTCTGAAGTCGAGGCGACTGTTTTCAAACCACGCAAGCACATCCAAAGCGGCTTTTCCGTTTCGACGTGAGTGAAAGACCGCTCTGGCGAACTAACGAGGCAACGAGTGGCTGTTAGGCATCGACTCACAGTCAGCTTTTAAACAAATTTGGCGCACCTGCTCTCAGCTGCTTTTGGGCTACCGGTCCTTTCACCATTGGTCAGGTCTAGCTTGACAGGGTGTGAGTAGAGAGGCAGCCTGCAGAGAGGGGTTGGGTTATATTAGCTCTTCCCAGCACAGTGAGTCGGTCAATATTTGGCCTGGGCTATCATGTACGCCATAGGCTGAAGGTGTCACATCTAGTGTGCCTTGCTTATCGTTGAACGGAAGTATCGGCTTCCTGCATCGCTCGGCAATTTTGTGTGACGTGCAGCTTAGCCCGCTTCGGACGCTGGTGATCAGTCCTCGCCGGAGACTGTTATTCACAGCGAGGAGCCTGTTCAATTTCTTGGCCTCAGACTTTTCAGACAGATGTGGTATGATCTTTAACATATACTTGCTTAGGATATGGAAAAGGTTCAAAAGTCTGCACTGAGAGGCTAAAAAGATCATCTTGAATTTTTTCAAATACGTATGCAGTTGCTAAGTTTCCCACTCCCTTCCACCTCTGAGTCAAATCTGATCAATTAATCAGACTAGAACTACATGCCAGCCCAAGAACGGATTTCTTTATCATCGCCATGTATTCCAGCCTCTTCATTGTCAATCCTTAACGCCCACGCCTAGCGCTTCTCCTCAATCGTACACACATGAATAACCAGCCGCCAATGGTGGCCGCAGTCAAAGGACCGCAGAAGCTCAGAAATAGCATCAAGTTATCACGCTTCCAAATGAACGGTTGTTTCATGCTCTCTGCCCTGTCTTCGTTCCAAAGCAGTACTCCACTCTGAAAGAAAGTCTGCCATCGCGTCAGAGGCTCAAATTACGCTGGCAAGACTCGGGTAAGCAGTTCTTACTGCAACGAAGGTGGCCGGCAGGAAAATTAGTGTCGCAATCGTGATGACATGCATAGACGTTGTTTCCTTCAACGTCTTGTCCGTAATGACTTGCATCTGTTTGGTGTTCTCGTGCGCTATCTCGGCGAACCAATTGCCCACATGATTTGTGCGTTGCTGGATCAACCTCTCATACTTTGTATCTTCATGTCAGCTTGGAAGCGTCTTTTAACATGCTGCTCATAGGGGTATGCTTACTAGCTGTATACTTTGGTTGAGTGAGATGGCCAAGCAACGCATTTGCTGCAGTCGTGTTTCTAACCTCCTCACAATAGATCTGACCTCTTTGATAAAACTGCAGATTGATACTTCACATGCAGCTTTCCCACGAAACTCAGTGGCAGCGATCTGGCTGTAGAAGTCGCAGATGTCACCAAGGACAGCAATGTCAAGTTCCAGAGCTAGCGAAGCTCGATGAATAATGTCAGAGTGCTTGTGCAAGGTCTGTATGTCTTTGAACCGGAACTGGTTGAGAGTTTCCCACGTATCTGGCTGGGGAGGCTGTGAACTTGTATCTGTGGTATCACAAGTAGGGTATTGGCCACCAAGCTCCGGGTCCGCGTGTTTTGACTTCTCCTGCCTGAGCCAAGAGCTGAGAGTTGAAGATGTCCCGTTTGTCATACGGGATAACATCGACATCTTGTTTTTCTCGGAGTTAATAGTGGTGGCTAAATTGCCTGACATGGGTTGACTTTGCGAGTACATGGTCGGGTTGCGAGAGTCTCTCAAAGGCTTTGGGTACGCACTCAAGAAACTGGACTCTTTGTCAATGAGGTCATCGACAATCGCTTTTGTGGCCGGCGTTACGATCGTTCGAATCTCTGCCTCGGTCTCGTTGATAAACTGTCGCCAATTCTCATCGCACCAGGAGAGGTAAACCAAGTGAGTAGCCAATGACGCCTGAAGATAGAGAGAAACATCTCCATCTTTTGTTTCAGTTTTGGCTGGAATCCTGAGAAGAGGGCTGATTTTCTTTATCCGATCTTCAAAAGCATCGTCTGCCTTGATGGTAAACCAAAACGCCCGTCCGGTTTCCACGTCGAAGGAATGGTAGTTTGCAACTTGACGGATCTGCCAGTCCCAGACGCCATTCCCACTTTCGGAAGATTCGACAGAGCGGAGAAGATAAGACAGCTGAATTTCTCGACCAGAACGGCCGAGCTTGGGAAGCTCCGGGAGGCCTTCAGCCGGACAGCTGAGCGTGTCGCAGCCTTTAAACTGAGCCAAGCAGAGATCAAGAGGCTCTTTTTGTCGTCCAAAGGCATGTACTGGCTCCAGAAAAGCAGGGTTGACTTGGTGATAGGAGCAGACTAGTTTGAACATATCCATAGAGCAACTTAGCGGCGATCTCGAGTTATCTGCGCCAACAAAACTTATCGCTTGTCAGGAATTGTTCATTCAGGGTCGGAGGTTCGAAAATTTGCAGCTTACACATGGCGAACGTGCGGATCCTGGTCTCCGCGGTGCAGATGCAGCCAAAGAGTCTCCATATCCCAAATGGCTTCTTCCTCCTCAAGGAATTCTACTGACATCAGATAAACGCCCAAGACTAACGAAGGTATTTTTGTCCTTACGATTTCGTCTTCCAGTTTCCCAGAACGTTATTACAGATGCCGCACGGTCAAACAAGGAGCACTCCCTCTCCTGAAGGCTTTCATATTGCTTTTCACCATAGAAAGCCTCATGAGGTTGCTGGTTTCTGAGCTGTACTTGAGGGTATTTGTCGGAATGACGGCAAAGCTCCGTGAACCGATCATACGCGTCGTGTGTTTGCATGTTGAGAGGCTTTCACCTAGATACTCCAGGACCCTAGGCAGGATCTGGACGAAGCGCTCCAACGGATGTCGAGATAACGAGCTAGTACAACTAGGAGGGGCGTTTTTGACTATTCTGAGGACGCGCCGCCTGAGACTGATCCTCAGGAAAATAGACGACATTTAAGTTTGAAGAAAATTACATGAAATCATTCCATTCCGGGCCGGGTGGCGGGGTTGCTAAAGATCATCAGATTCTTACTGGCTAAGGTATGCGGTGTTTGCCTTGCACAGGGCCACACCTCGAACACCGCCCCTCCGTTGCATATTAGCAGCACCGGGCTTATGCAGAAGTCTGCCTTAGGTAACGTGGTAGATATCAACTACTGAAAGTCGCTCTGCTCATGTCCCCAACGACCCGAACTCACCCTCCCACTTCCTGGGGCTTAGAAACCCATGCCGTGAAGCCTGAGCGTGGTGCAAGAGACGGGTCCGATGCCCGATTGCTACCTCTAAAACCTAACCTGAATGACCTAACCTCGATGCCTCCTTCTTCTTGATATAACCAGATGCTGAACATCGCTCTTCATATCCCTATGATCAGTTTGAAGTACTTTCAAGGCTTGGTATGTGGGGTTACCTGAGTGATTGCTATCGTGGCCGTTATCACATAGTCGCCGTCCTTGGGCTGCCTACTGTTAGCTTTGTTTTCCTCTCAACCTCTAGCTAATTCTTCTCTACTTCTGTTTATGTCGGTATTGTCTTCTTATCTCTCCTTGTCTCCCCTATCTTGAACCCCGATATTCCTTGTGTCTATTGCCATGTCCCCCCGACCCTGCGCGCTGTTCTTGTAGGAATATCCGCAGATTACTCTTCTTGTTACATGAAGGAGCATGAAACAGACTTACTGTGAGCCGGAAGTTGCCCGCACCTAGAGTGTTCTGGAGCCAAGTCTCAAGAGCATCTCGTCGAATTCTATATCCATTGATGGTCGAGACTATCATTGCGCGACCGATTCAATGATTCCATGCGGGGTTCGATGCAAGAGAGGAACGATAATAGCAAGGCATATTTTGAGGAATGTCAAGAGCTGAGCCCCGGAATTAAGGTGCTGGTTTGCCTCGAGGATCAGGCTCGGACGCTGCTCACATCGCCACCGGTCCGCAACGGGCAAGACCATCGGGCCCGAAATGCTACATGCCGCCTGTTTCTCACAGGGCATAGCTTAACTCATATTGTGGCTTCATTCGTCGCCTGATTTCACACCGACTGTGATCGGGCGCATTGCTTCGGTCGTCTTGGGGCTGGTTGGATGTTGGACAAAACCCCGCTCCAGCAGGCTGGCTCGGCTGGTCAGCGTTATCATGCACGGCACTTCTACCTGCATCACTTGTCTCACCGGCGGGTTACGCGATAACCATGGCACCTGTCTGTTGTCCAATCAAGCAGGTTGTTGCAGCACACCTCCACCATCGCCGACTTGGTGCGGACCGCTCCCATTATCTGTGTTAGATTCATGAAATGGATGCCTTACCGCAAGCGACAGGCTCTCTCACCCAAGTTGAGCCACTCACCAGAACAGCCTTCTCATGCAAAGCGGCTGAGCCTACCAGGTTCTCTTAAGGAAGAGAGAAACGAAACGACTCCAAAGAATCGGATGCTCCTACCTTAGACATGAGGGCAACATTGCTGGTAGATTATGAAACGCTTTGATATCTCATAGTACCTTGATCCTGACTTGTTGTGGGCAGTGAGAGGATTTACGATAATGATGTGCGATGGTTCAGGACTTGCCAGTACTTCTTACTTTCAAAACCCTTGGCAAGCAACCGTGAATTCTTAATTTCCTACTACTCAGCTAACTCACAAACAAGAACACGAACAAGGACACGAACAAGTCTGAACATATCGGCGAACTTCCTCCAGCTCGGTTGGAGCACAATTGAAGGATCGGTAATTCTTGGACCATTTCTGTCC